CAGCTCTGCTCGGGGGGCAGGGTGGACACTGCCGGGACAGACAGGGCCCTCTGAGGCCCCCCGGGGACACCGATCCAGTGTCCGCAGTAGCCCTGCCACCTGGAACCCCTCCATACCACGCTCGGCCACCATGTCCCACATGGTGACCCCAATACTGTGGGATGGGGACCCCAAGGTTGGGTTCAGAGAGCACTTGGTCCCACAGCCATGCTCGTAACCATCACGCGTGTGGGGCACCCCAGTGTTCAAAGCACTGCTCTTGTTTTTATGACGTTCAAATACACCAAAAAGTAACAGAGACCCACATACCCACTGACCAGAACAGACCATTTTTATTATTTCCTCATGCTCGCCTCATCGTTTGTTATAATAAACTGTTACAGATGAACTCAGTCTCCCTGTCCTCATCTCCCCCTTTCTCAGAGGTAGCAGCCTCCGTGAACCTGGCTTCATGACCCGTGTTGACACTTTTCCTTACGTACACATGGATCTGTGCATGATATATGATATTATTATGCCTGTGTGTTTTTAATTTCAGGAATGCTTTCTGAGTTTATTTTGTGACTTGTCTTTTTCCCCAGAGAGCATTTTTCACCCAGTGTCAGAACCTCCCAGCAGTCCCCTTCTATAAGGCAGCCTTTATTATTGTCCCCGTTTTTAAATGAGAAACTTGAGCCTCAGAGAGGTTAAGAAGTGGGCCTAGATCACACAGAGAAACGTTGGCCCCAGAACCACATCTCATCATGCCTGCAGGATTCATGGCTGTTGGTCCTAGAATTCATTCATTCGCCAAATACTTTTGGAGTGTCTGCTCTGGTCCAGGCGCTGGGGATGCCGTAGCACACAGGGAACGAACCCACTTCTGGAAGGTATGGCCAGGAAGCACAGCCTCTTTAGATAACATTGACCTTGAAGTTGTCTGTCCACTCTGTTCTGGTGTCCCCTCTTCAACAAGCCAACAAGTGTTTTTCTGATCTTGACATGAACATCTCTGATGGGGAAACGAGTCCCCCAACCCGCCACACCCCACCCCTCCCTGTGTTGTCCTGATTACTAGTGTCTAAGAGGAAGCTTGTCTTCTTGTTCTGCCTCCTTGGGCCACACTCTTCAGCATGACAGCCCTTCTAGTGTTGGAAGTTAGGGGTCATACCCCCCAATCTGCTCTGAGCCGAAACCTCATCCAGGGATCCCATTCTCAGGGCCAGGGCTAACCTGCCCACTGGTATGAGAAAGCCCAGTTCCTCATTTCAACAATGGCGTGCCACCAGAAGGCCGTCTCCAAAAGTGCCTAAAAGGTGATCAGAGCTGGCTGGGCCACCTTTGAGAGTGACCTTCCCTTACCACCTGCTTCCAAGGTGACTTCAGCTGATGTCCCCTCACTCTAGCCACAAGCCAGCCCTTGATCAAATCTTCCTAACTTCCAAATGACGGAATTGACCTTTTTTTGAAGCTGACCTTTTTTTATTTTCCAATCATGGGATTTTGCTGTTTAAAGCTATTTTCATGTCCAACCCAGGACTTCCAATTTAGACTCTGTTTTACAAAGGAAAAAGCATCAAACAAAACCAACAAACCTGAGACAGATGGATTGAGCGACAGCGCTGGCCAGATTTGGAGCATCTCTCAGCAGCCTGCCTTAGCATAAGTTGGGGGCGTGGGCAGCCATCTGCTAACAATTGCCACTGAGTATCCGATTAATTGATCACACTAAAAGCACATGACTAGAAGTGCCTGCTTCCTGATTTTCCCGCTGTAGCTTAAGCAGTTGGATACAAGATGCTTATAATAAATACTCTTGGTTTTCAATTGCTACAGGAACAATAGAGGGAAAGAATACTAGTAATTATGGATTACAAAATACTATTAATTATTAGTGATTATCTTGGACCATGTTTTATCATATATGATCTTATTCACTCCTTGCAACAGTCTCACTAGGTGGACTGTATTCTCTTCATCACTCACGGGAAGGAAATTGAGGCAAGTGGGAAAGTGACTCACCCAAGGCCCCACTGTTTGTGGTGAAGCAGGGTTCACCCTCCAGTGTTTCAGACACCGGAATCCACCCTTGCGCCCCACGGTCCGAGGCAGCAGAACCAGTCCCGAACTGACTGCGCTCCCAGGCAGTTCTGCGCTCTCACTGCAGGTGCAGGGCGGAGGGACTCACCGTGGGGACTGTCCCACTCTGGGATTGGGGTTTGTGAAGTACAGCCTGGGGGAAGCCCTTCTACTGACTCCAGATTCATGAATTCCACATGGTTTTACTTGTCGCCTTTTTGTGTGTTAGGAATGGGGCTGAGGGAGTTTGTGCTGAGCCGGCCGTACCCTCGCCCGCAAAGGTCTGCTCTCTGTCTGTGGGAGATGGACGTCCAGTGATGCGGGTCGTCCTGAGTCCTCTCTGGAATGAGTCCAGGAGGTGGCAGGGGCAGAATAGTGCCCCTACCTTCAAGGATGTCCACATCCCAATCCCTAAAATCTGTGGATGGGTTGCCCTTCCCGGCAAGGGCACTTTGCAGATGGGATTAAGCAAAGGAGCCTGAGGAGGAGCCAGCAGCCTGGGGGATCCGGGGCTCAGTGTACTCGCAGGGCCCCTATGACAGGGGGCAGGAGGGTGAGAGGTTGAAGACGCCACACCGCCGGCTCTGAAGGTGGAGCAAGGGGCCGCAAGCCAAGGAATGTGGGGGCCTCTAGAACACTGGAAAAGGCAGGCGGCAGAACCCCCCGGAGCCTCCAGAAGGAGCGCAGCTTTGCAGACACCTTGATTTTAGTGCAGTGAGACCTCCAGACTGTAAGATAATAAATCGCTGTGATTTTAAGCCACTAAGTTTGCGGTAATTTGTCACAGCGGCCATAAGAAACTAACCCGTGGAGGCATTAAATAAGTACCTGCATGGAAGCAGAGAACAGTGAGGGGTACGGAGGTGAAGGGAACCCCCGAACAGGCTGTCAGGAGGGCCCGTGTCGGCCCCACAAAGGGGCTGTCCAGACTCCCCCTTGTTTTCCCTGGTGATGTGGATGAAAATACTCATCAAACTTGTATATGCCCTAAATAGAGGAGAGACCAGGAGCATGCCCAGAGATCTCCATGGAGTGGGAGAGTGGATCAGACCCCACAAGTGGAATCCACTTATACATATAAGGACAACACATATCTAAATGTGCTGCTCGGGCGGCGAGCACAGCCCTGTGACTGCAGCCCCCATCAAGCAGCAACGCCTGCCCTGCCCTGACCCCCCCAGGGGTCCCTTCCATTCTCTGCATCCCCAAGGTCAACCGCCCTGTTTCCACCTAAAGGGCAGCGCTGTGTTATGAATACAAATGTCAAGCACCTCCCAGCATGAGCCCAACACATGTTGCTCTTCCCAGCTGAAGTGGGTGTCAGGAGCCACTTGTTGTCTGAGTAATGATCACACCTTAAGAAGAGGCCATTGACATTCAAGGCGGATCAAGCATGGTGCTATTGAACGGTAGCTGCCCAGGTACCCTAAATCCTCCCTGTGTCCCGGGGCCCAGCACAGAGTCTGACCCCACAGTCTGTGAGGCTGGGTGCAGAGCAGGAAGCACCAGGCTCACAGAGACACACATGGCTCTCAACCCTGACTCCACTTTGACCTCTCCTTCCCTATCTGAAAAATGGGAATACAGTACCCTCCACCAGGATAGTTCAGTGATTAAATGAGAGTATTTTAATGTCTCTGGCACATTCCCTGACCGTGACAGAGGCTCCACATGGATAGTAACGGTGCTCAGTAGATGTGTTTCCAATGACGGTGTCACTGTTTAGTGTTCATTCATTCAGGTCCCATTCAAAAAAAGCATTTATTATAGGCCAGATAGATACGGGAGCCAAGCTTGGGGCTGAATGCATCCACGTTCTGCCTTGGAGAGGGTCGGGAAGGGCCTGGGACGGCCTGGACATTGGTCTTCTGGGCTGGAGAAGGGAGGGGCCTCTTCACTGCTGTGTCTGGGGCCACCCTGTCCCCTGGAGCAACCCACTCCCCCACCTCCAACCTGAGTCTGAGCAGCAGAGAGCCTTTGCAAATGGAGGTAGGAAGTTCCGATCCCCGGATGCGAGCATTCTGGCATCCTTACGTGCTGAGATGCGTGGCGCAGGCCGTAGGAATTAGGATCGCTCTTCTGGGGGAGTTTGTCCCTGTGCCACCAGAAGCTATATTCATACCTGCTGACTCAGAAATTGTGTGTCTGGGAGTCTGCCCCAGTAAATAAAACCGTGGGTGTGAGGATGTATGTAAATCCAAATGGATGCACAAAGATGTTTACCAGTGCATTATTTTTAATAGGAAAAGTGGAAATTCCTAAATCTCCAGCTGTAGGGAAGCGGTTTAATTATGGCTTGGATTTATGGCAGAATATTATACAACCATCAAAATGGAATTTGGAATTTTGATGGACTTTTTACTATAGGGATAAAAAATACATGTTTAAATGTGTTCTCTCTCACACACACACACATGCACAGGAAAAAGATTGGAAAGGAAAAATTATCAAATGTTAACAGTGATTACATGGTGAGATCATGATTCTCAGTTTTTTCTTTATCCTCTTTTATATGTTCTGAGTGCTCTATGCGGAGCATATATTTTTTTAACCCCCTCCCCCCCCAGCATATATTATTTTTAAAACTAGAAGAGGAATAAAGGCATTTTACAACCCATGCTGCCGTGGAAGGGCCTGATATGGGGCAGGGCGGGGGCCTGTGTGAGTCACCAGCTAGCTGTCGGGTGAGTTCCTCGACGCCTTCTCATACAGAGTGGATGTGAGAGCGTCTGCCCCAGAAAGTTGCCATGAATACTAATTTGTATAGGTTAAAATATGCATTGTCCATTATAAAAACACAAAAAAGCAAAGCCCTGCTTTGCAGCCCCAGAAGAAGTTGTGATTTCACGTGGGCTTCCTTGGTCAGGCCAGCATCCTTTTGGAGGGCACATCTGCCCGAGCCGCCACGGGCCCTGGCTAACGTTCTGTGTCCTTCTTTGCAGCTGCCCATGATGGGAGGAGCTTTCATGGACTCGCCCAACGAGGACTTCAGCACCGAATACTCCCTGTTTAACTCTTCCTCCAACGTCCACGCTGCCTCCAATGGCCAGGGCCCGCTGGAGGAGCCTCCTCGGTCGTCCAACGACGCCGTCTTGCTGTGGATTGCCATCATCGCGACGCTGGGGAACATCGTGGTGGTTGGGGTGGTGTACGCTTTCACCTTCTGAGGGAGCGCGATGGTCGGCAGCCGCCAGGACGGCTCACGCTGCGGCGGGCTCACCATGGGGTGAGGCTGTGCTCCTGGCACTGTCTTGCTGTTGGTCTTCAGCGACTCCTACAGCCTGAAACCAGGAATTTTGACCACTTGAATGGCCTCTCTAGGGGCAGCACCCATGCATCTGGAGTTTCCCCAGGCGGCCCTGATTTCAAATACTCCATGCTGTGGTCAGGCTGATTCAGAAAACGTGGACGTGTCGGCTTCCTGCCCCCGGAAGTGTGACGGGGCAAGGCTTTCAAAGAGCAGATTGGGGGATTCTTGAAGCTGCATTCCCAGAACATGAGTCCAGATGCAACGGCCAGTTAGGTGTAAAATATAGATGTGGTTTGGTGATTGCTTGCTGGCGGTAAATAATCACTTGTGTGTCTTGCTTTTATGCAAACTTATCAAACCTCATGTGAGGCTGCTAGGGCTAGAGCAGCCCTCAGAACTTCGGTGTCCCCAGCCCAGTCTTGGTCCCATATTCAGTCCCTTGGCATATTGGTGGCCACAGGATGGTCCTAATTTGACTTTGAAATGGCGCCTTCGTCACAAGACACCCGGCCCCTTGTGAGACCCATTCACATCAGGACACTCAGGAATGAGGGGGTTAGCAGCAATGTGCTGGGGTTTCTGGGGGTGTTGGTGGTGGTTTTTATCTGCTGGATGGATTTTCTCTTCTTTTTAAGGAGAGGAGAGGATGTCTTTAAAAACTAGATCTGCCAGGCAGTGAACTCTTCGGGCCACCCACATGAAGATGCTCTTAATTCTTTGAGGGATCCTAGAATTTTAGAGATGAATAAGCTCATGTCCACTGAATTCTTTGGTGGATGGGTTGGAGAGGGGCATGATTTGCCTGCGGTCACAGGGCAGGTTAATGTGGGAGTCAGAACGGGAAGATGTTTCCTAACCCTCAGCTCAGTGCTCTCTCTGCCCCAGCGATGCACTCCCCTGAGCAGGTCCCTGCCTTCAAGGCCGTGCGGCAGAGACGCCGCCCTCGGGAGATGGTCCAGGGAGTCTTGAAGCTGGTGCAAGATCGCAGGCCATTCGTTTACCTGTATTTGACGCTCATTTTGGGCACTGTGCCCTCTCCTGCAGTTGTGAATGTGCTCCTGCCCCAGCCAGTTTCCCTGAATTCTTAAAAATCGGTGTCTGGGGGTCCGAGCAAACAAGGAAGCTCCCAAGTGAAGACCAGAGCTGCAGGGGACGTGCTGGGGGAGCAGTGCTTAGGAAAGGCTGTCGCAGGGCTCCCCCGCCCCTTCCCCGCCTTCCCAGGCAGCTTCGCCTGCAGACAGGAGTGGGAAGGATCTCAGACCAGCTCACTCGCCTACAGCCCTGGAGTGGCTTTCCCCTTGCTTTCTCCCTACACTGCGAAAAAGAAGACAAATAGCAGAAATTCCCCTCCTGAGGTGGAGAAATGTAAAAAGCTCGTTAAGAAGCCCTTGTGTGTATTTGGGGACAAGTGCAAAAAGGCTGAACTTGCCACTGCAGTCTCAGGAGAAATGAGTGCTCTTGATGATGGGCCAAGGGACATCTAATTGTCCAGAGGCAGCACTCGACTCCGGGAGCTGCCGCAGTAACAGGATTAGTAGCCTGGCGTCCAGACGGTGCCTGCTCATGGCCAGCCACCAGCTCTTACTGTCCACATCTGTCACCATGGCCACATGTCCATCAGCCAATGCTTCAGCTCAAATGGAAGTCCCGAGTGCAGAGAACCAGTCCGACCTTGGCCATGAGGGAGAAGGGACATGGATCGGATGCCTGGGACTCCTGGAGTCATCGGCGGGGCGGAGGCTGGGCCGGGCAGTGAGCTGTTGTGTGCACGGGCGTTCGAGGATGTTCACCCCGGCTGCTTCTCCAGCAAACCTCAGGTCTGCCCCGTGAGCAGGGTCTTTAGTAAACAGATGTCTCCATGAGAGAACCCGAGGAGAAAAGTCCAGAGCCAAGGCGGAGGCCGGGGAGATGCGTGATGTCTTTACGAGGGTCACTCCAGCCTGCACACTCTCTGATTCTCCACTTTCTGGCCCCAAATCCCCAGGAGGGCCTGCGGTCCCAGAAAGAGGCAGGCGGAAGCCCCCTGGTCTCCATGTGGCCTATGAAGACGGCAGTTGGGAGAGACGGTTCTGTGTTTGCCATGATGGGGAGAGGAGAGGAGAGGATGGCTTCCGGCCCTGAAGAGGACTCCAGTGTCCCAACCACTGGGTACTTCTGGCTGCAGGGTCTCCCCTAGGATGATCCCCATGCCCATCCCCTGACATAAATGTCAGTTAAGTTTGATTTTCAAGTGTCTCTCCTTTTCCAGTATCACAGCCACAGGTGATCGAGAGCACTGGAGTCCGCCTTGTCTACACGGCGTTACACAGGCTGCGGGCTTGCTCGGGGCGCTCCATCTCTGTCTCCTGTGGTTGCCTTACCAGCTCTTTCCCCACCATCACTCGCGTAGCAATGAGGATAGATGTGCCTGTTGGTGTCCACGTAGGGAGTAGGGGACAGATTCCTGGCCAGAGAGAGCCGCACTCTGCCTCCTGCCTGGCTGGGGCCTGTCTCAGCCGTCAGGTAGGGAGAACTAGAGACCCGGCCCCGTTGCTTGAGTGTCGTGTCCAGGTACTGCTGGATTCACATGCACACGCCTAGTCCTGCAATCACCGTACAGCGTCATGGCTCCAATGCACAGGAAAGAACCTTATGTGTGAGGCTCAGAGGAGTGAAGGGTGGTCTCTGGTGCCTGGCCCCCTGTTTAAGTTTGAACTCAATTCTCCTTGGAAGGCCCCGGCGAAGTTCCAGAGGCCAGTTTTCCCAGGATGCGTGCAGAAAGGGGTCCTTGGCCAAGACCCGGGAGCCCAACAGAAGCGTCCACACACGGAAAGCTCACGCAGCCAGAATTGGGAGGTAGAGTCGCGGGACAGTCTTGCTTTGCAAGTTGGCCCCAGCCTGGCCTCAGGCCTTTCTTTGGGCCCCAGGGCTCTCCCAAACAGGGGCGTTGGACCCTCCTCTCTCGGACTCCAGCCGGGGCCCCTGCCTTGGCTTCGCCCTGGGTGAGGTAGCCCCAGCGCCCCTTGATTTGAGGAGTCAGTGCTGAGGGAGGAGAGGCTGGCCTCTTCCGCAGCTGCCGCTCAGGAGGGCACCTGCATTTGCTGGGATGTTCCCTGTGCTTGCCCCTCTGTGGGCCCCTCTTTCTGCTCTGCAAGCCGTTTGGTGTCCCACACGTGTGTGTCTGCCTGTGGGACGCTTCTGGTTCAGAAGAGCAACTCGCTGCTGTGGGAGGTTGTGAGTTGCCGCCACTGAAGGCCTTTGAGGAGAGACCAGTCCCCACTGCAGCCCGGCCTGTCCTGAGGGAGTCTGTGCCTCTGCAGGGGCCCGGGCAAGAGGCCGGCTTGACCCCTTCCTACTCTGCATCATTGCCGGCCCTCGCCTTTGTCACAAAATCAAGGTCAGGAGACAAAGGAGACTCCTCCCACTGAGAAATGATTGTGTCTCCTTCCAGACCCCAGCATGGGGACTGGGTGGTAGCACTTGGCGGAGAGGCAGTGGCTGTCCTCCAGCCCCGGTTCAAATGCAAGGCTTGGAGGCCTGCCCAGGCCTGGCGTATAGCAGGATCGGCCCCCGGAGACCAGAGAGGCCCAGCCAGCTCCGTCTGCCGTCAGCACCGCCGCCGGATTCCTTCGAGACAAACGGTGCCTGCCTTCTGCAGGAGCACCACCTTCCTTCGTTATTATTATTAGTAGAAGTATCACTAATCATTACTCTTACTGCTGCAGGTTTTGCACACCTCCCTCGTGTTGTGTTCTCGGTCTCATTTACTTCTCAAATCACCCCAGCGGGGCAGGAGAGAGGGTGCAGAGAGGTGCACGTTGATTGTTGTGCCATTTTTCTGTTTAGAAAACTGAGGCCAGGCTATGCCCATGATTGCTCGACGCTAAGGAGCTGTGACTCGGACCCAGTTATGTCGCTCTAGAGGCTCCCGTCACCCCACACCCTTGCCCTGCAGTGAATCCTCTGGAGTGGAGCAGGCTGGGGCTCAGGTCTGGTCCTGGAGAGCTGTGGTCAGACGGCCACATCCCAGTGTGAGTCCTGGAGCGGGGAGCAGCAGGGCACGTGTATTTATCAGGGTCAGAACCTCACAGTGATGAGAGGTTTCAGAGAGCGTCTATTCAGGACCTTTCATTTTTGGAGAGAGCAGATGAGGCCACGTGGAAAATTAGCAGAAAGCTGACAGTCTCCGGGCACCTGACCCGGGGCTCCATCCTCTGGGCCGTGCGCGTCTGCCAGGAAGCAAAGGGATTTCCCCGGATTACCAGCTCAGCCCTGAGATGGATCGTGTCCTCTGCCAGCTGCCACCCGGGCCCCTCTGCTGCATCCTGGCAGATGCCCAGCGGTCGCCCCAGAGCAAATCCCAGGGGTGGGCTGAGCTGCTGCCATGGGGAGGCCCACAGAACTCTGCTCAGGGGGCCGAAGGGACCAGTCGTGCCTGAATGACCCACGTTCACCTGTCCCCACCCTTCCCACCCTGGCCCACTCCACGCACCTCTGACCTGGGTCTCTCAATGAGAGGGACGGAGGAGAGGGTGGGTGAACTGCATGCTGAGAACCCAGAGGGACAGAGCCCCCAAACTGCAAGCAGGAAAAAGGGCCTCTCTGAGAAACCCAGATAACCAGAATTGTAATGGCACCAAAATACTCCCAGTGCACCCTTCTGAGATTAGAGCTTGCGCATCGACTGAGGTTTTTTTGGGGGGGCGCGGGGAGGATATTTGAGAGGGACGGTGACAAGGAATGAAAGGAGGATGTAAACCCTAGTGACTAAAGAAGGTAAAAGATTCCCCCCGGAGTGGGAAAACGATAACATCTGAAGCATAATAACTGGTCAAAAGTACACAAAATTGACTACATCAATTTTGAAACGTAAGTCTGCGCTGATGAAAGCAGAGATGACTTGGACACTCGCTCTTGGAGAGGCCGCACAGGTGGCAGCGT